CTTCCCCACTCCTGCCTCACCCTGGTCCAGCCCAGGCTCCGGGACCATCTGCAGAATGAGCCAGGATATGGAAGATATCTGTCTCTCCCCCTCTAACCTGCCTTTCAAACAAACAAACAAACAAATCTAAAGGGAGAGAAAAAAAGTTACCTTCTCATTTCTTAGAGACCTGATAAGTAGCCATAGCGACTCTCCCAGTATTCCAGCAGAACGCTTCATCTCCAACATCTCAGAAATGCTTTTGTAAAGGAAGGAGATGCTTACACGGAAGGAGAGCCTCAATCAAGAGCACAGATGGTACTCTGTGTGGAAATGAAAATTAACTGACTATTGATGATTCTACTTTCCTTCGAATTTGGTATTTTTCATTTCTGCCAAGGCAACTCAGGAGAGCTGCTGATACTAATGCTAAGGAACAAAAGAAAAACAAAAAATCACGCAAGAAAATGCACTTGTAAGTGGCTATGAATTATCATACAAAAGTGGAACAGAAATTACCTCCATGAGAAAAGAGGTGCTTCTAGTCTGGTCTAGTCTCAAGGCTGCTGCTTCTTCTTTTTTTGATTTATTTATTTTGCTTGAAAAAGTTACAGAGGGAGAAAGGGACAGACAGATCTTCCAACTACTGTTTCACTCCCTAAATGGCTGCAATGGCCAGAGATGAGCAGCACCAAAAACAGGAGCCCGGTGCTTCTTCTGGATCTCCTGCATGATGATAGGGGCCCAAAGACTTGGGCCACCTCGTGCAGCTTTCCCTGGCCATTAGCACAGAGCTGGAACAGAAGTGGAACAGCTGACACATGAACTGGCACCCACACGAGATGCCAGCACCACAGGCAGAGGATAGCCTGAATGCCACCACTGCTACCCCTACATGCACTTTTACTATAAGGTAGCTGAATGACAGCAAGAAAGTCACTCCATGCTTTTGATCTTCATTTTCTAATCTGTCAACGAGGCAATTAAACAGAATATCTACAATCCTAGGGAAATAAAGTTGATTCTATAAGGATGGTGTTTTTCTGGTATGCCAAAACATATTTTTAAAGAAATTAATTTATCAGAAGTGAAAATTGTAAGGTTGGTGATTACTAACTTACCATCAAAACACAGCTGACCTCATGATTCATGAATTTTGTGTTTGCAAACTTGACTAACTGCTATTTTCAACAGAGATTGAACAAAGCAATACTTTGTTTCACTTCTCATAAAGTAAGCGAGTGTCCTCTATTGTGGTATATTTAATATCCTGTTTCTGGCACGCATGCTCTTTTTGTTCGTGACTTCACTATTCAACATTTCACTCATGAACGGTCCTGGAGTTAGAAGGCTGTGACAGAGCTCACAGAAACAACATGCTTGATAAACTTCATTTAGGCATGAGTGCTAATCCTATTGGTCATGAGTTCAATATCAAAAGAATCAACATACCCAGGAACCTCAAAAGTCTGTGGAAAAATGGCAATGAAACATCAGTTTACTTTGGTGCAAAAGAAAAACTCTGAACTACTTAGATATTAAATAATGTCTTTGTAAAAGAAAAAAGCATGTTAAGAAAACATACACAGATACGCAACCAGCTCACCTGGCCAGCGGAAGATAGAGAGTGCCTCCTCAGAGGACAGAACGCTGAGCAGGTCGGACAGCTCTCCTGACCAAGCACTGCAGCAAGTGGATGTGCTAAGGTGGACTTTGTAATAGACTGGGAAAGATTTTCTCAACCACAACATCTCAGAACTATTAAATCTGGTCAAGTAACACCCTCAATAGGGTCTCTAAGGTGACACCAGAAGACTGTCCCTATCCCCAGGCGCTCATGTACTTAAGACAATAAGGAGGAATCCTTTCTGTCTGTCCCCTGCCTCCCACCCCCACACAGAAAGGAAAACGAAAAATAACAAATACTTATCCCTGCCACCTTCCTCCATAGCTTAACACTCCTCACCCTCACGTAGGCCCACAAAAGCATGCATCCTTCTTAAACACTTGGAACAATATTAAAAACAAATGTCATGCATCCAGCTATGTGTGAGGCCCTGGAGATGATGCTGTGAAGGAAACAGGCAGATTCTCTGTCTTCGTGGAATCTGTCCAATGAGGGGAGGTGGAGAAGTGAGACATGTCAGATGAGACATGAATGCTGCATGGTGCTGAAGCATAAAGGGATACAGAGCAGGTGAACGGAGTCAGGAAAGACCTTCACTGAGCCCAAGATTGCAATCTGTGAAGGAGTAACCCAGACGGATATCAGGGAAACAGCATCCAGGCAGAGAACAGAAAGAGAGAGGGTCAAACATGCTGGGCAAAAACCTGCAGGGCTGGCAGGAAAATGGAACAGCAACAGGTATGCAAGGTTTGCCCAAGTGCCAGACAGATAGGAAATAAAGTTAGAGTTGTAAGAGGAGCCACCTCGTATATATTTTTGTAGGCACTGGGAGAACTCTGGCTTTTGCTCTGAATGTCACTGTGGGAAAGATCATCACAGCTGTAATGTGGAGAAAGGATTATCCAGGGAGAGAATTCGGAAGAGACATTTGATACAAAACACGAGGGTACAGCAGCTTATACTAGTGCAGAAGGCAGAGATGATGAAAGATATCAAGTTTTAACTAAAATTTTAAAATCAATTTTGGGAGAAGGAGTGCTAGTGAATCAAGAGGAGTTGTAGATAAAGCAAAGGCTTAACCTAGAGCTAGTAAGAGGGCAGAAAGGCAACTAGTTGGCATTGGAGAAAACTGAGACGGAACAAGCTAGTCAGAGTAGGATAAACCAAGAAGCAAGCCACACCCAGACAGTCCTCTTCATTGGTGATGTCTACCAGATAACTAAGAAGACGTGCCGCACATCCACTAACACTGTCAACCACACAGTGAAGAAATTCAGTCCCGTGAGTCCAGAGAACAAGCAGGGGAACAGAGCGGGAGGCACACGCGCAGAAGGTAATAGGATTCAGAATTTCTAAGATCAGTGAGAGTGAAATCTCTTAAGAATGAGAAGAGAAACAGAGACACGGCCTGTGGCACTCCCCACCTTTAGTGAAAAACAACAACAAAAGAACACGTGAGAGTTTGGAAAGCTGAAGATAGCAAAGGGGATGTGTACTCACGGAGAAAGTAAGAAACAGAATGTATTCAAGGAAACAATGAAAAATGTATTTTAAGAAGAAAGTTCTCCACACAATTAGCTGCACTGCTGAAAGGGTAGGACAAGAAAAACAGCATTGTTTTACATCCAAAGAGAATGCAGGAATATAAAAATTAAAGGCAATGCAGAAACACTGGTTGGATCCTAGAGTAGAACAAATAACCGAAAGACACATTTTCGGAATGACTAGGGAATTTTAAAATTACACTGAACATTAAAACATGCAGTTACATGGTCTATTTTCTTAGGTGTGATGATGGCATTTTGAGTATATAGGAGAACAGTACTATGAGATCTATGCTGAAGAACTTGGACAAACACCTGCAGCATGCTTTCAAATGACTGAAAAAACACAGTGCTTTACAACACAAACATCTGTGTAATCTAGATGAAGAATTAAGAATGTTCTCTGTACTATTATTTGAACTTCTTAAAAAAGAAAAAAATAAAGAACAACCCAGTGGAATAAAGGCCAAAACTCACACATAGCAATTTTATAGAAAGGACACATCAAGGTCAATAAACAAATGAAAAGCTGTTCAAGCCTATTTGTAATAAGGATGATGCAGCCGCAGCCTTGCACATCTACCTAAGTAGTCAGAATTCAAAATCACACCATTAAATGCCACTAAAAATGGGCAGCAGAAACTAGAATTTGCTGCTGACATAAAGACTTCTCAGCTGCCCAAGCATCTTTTTTTTAAAAAAAGATTTATTTATTATTATTGGAAAGTCAGATGTACAGAGAGGAGGAGAGAGAGGAAGATCTTCCTTCTGATGATTCACTCCCCAAGGGGCCACAACAGCCGGAGCTGAGCCAATCTGAAGCCAGGAGCTCTTCCAGGTCTCCCAAGCAGGTGTAGGGTCTCAAGGCTTTGGGTCATCCTTGATCGTTTTCCCAGGCCACAAGCAGGGAGCTGGATGGGAAGCGGGGCTGCTGGGATTAGAACCAGTGCCCAAATGGGATTCCAGCATATTGAAAGTGAGGACTTTAGCTGCTAGACTACCACGCTGGGCCCCAAAGCATCTTAAAACTCAGTCATTCCTGCCTAGGTACACCTCAGAGCAACTTCCCCCTGCACAGAGAGCAAGGCACAGGACTACGGAGGAGCTACACTGTTGTGTCAGGTGTGTAAGTATTCATTTAAAATTACTATTACTGCAAATTTAAAGTATGCACATATCTATAGACACTTACATATGTATACAAATACACATAAATACCTTTACACACTGGCTACATTTCACAAGAGTTAAGAATGTGACCAATTGCAGCCAATGCTGACGGTGTTACACAAATCGAGGATGAAGAACTGACATCTGCATGTGCCAGTCAAGTGCCAAGGTGACAACCAAAACCACCACGAAGCACAAGTCTCAAGAAAAATTTTTGTTTTGGAAGAAAGATGCAGAAAAGTGCACCGACCAATTCAAAATGGTGAGAAACAGGCATGCCATATCTCACCAGGTCTCCTGCTCTCCCTGAGGGGAGGGATATTTTTAGGAAAGGGCAAGATTATTTTGAGAAACTCTGCTTTAGATGCATGTTATCCTGTGAAGACATGTGCAAAGGTGAACATTTAATTCCTAGTGCAAATCAAGATACTTTCAGGAGGGTGCCCGGAGGGGCTAATGCTAATTTGGCTGGACAGTGGCATACAGTGAACACTCCCAAGAAAACTGGTCCCCAAGGTTTTCTAGAAAGAAGTCAGCTCAGTTCTGTGCCCTGTTAAGGTTGAAAAGTTGTCAGCAAACCTGGAATTAAGCCTGGGGAGCTGGCAGGGGAGGGCACATCTTTAAATACAGTTCCGTTACATGAACACCTGTTTGCTAAGGAGAAACATACAGGTACTTACTCAGTTGATGGTATATAGGCTTGTGGAGTCCTTGGAGTTTCATTGATGCTAGGGCGGCAAGTTTTCCCGGAGGCTGCATTTTCCCATCTAAGAGATACCACATTCGGGCAAAAGTGGCCCATTGCTTAAAAAAAAAAATCCCAGCTAACATGAAAATCATTTAAGATACTGTAACATGACCTCTACTGTATATATTCTCTATATGTCATCTCTATTGTAGGATTAAACTTGGAAACTACTGTGAGCAGAAGACACTAGAGGGTTTTTGTTTCTGCAAAGCGGGGAGGGTGCGTCTCATGTTGTATAACGGAAACAGTGGTTTCTTCTTTGCTTTTCTTTAAAAAACATAACATGCAAAGCCCCTGGAGTTAATATGGTCCACACTGGACCCTTCAGGAAACCCTAGTGGCTCCATGGTCAAGCAGCCCCTCCACCATCGGCTTGGCACCCTCTGGCTAGCTGGGTTAGCTGTCTGGGCTCCCAGATCCCGGCTTTCCCTGCCTGGAGAGTCCACGCCCAAGGTGGACCCAAGGTGGACCCGAGGTGGACCCAAGGTGGACCCGAGGTGGAGCCAAGGCAGACCCAAGGTGGACACAAGGCAGACCCAAGGTGGACCCGAGGCAGACTCAAGCCCTCGCACAGAACCTCATTCACTTAGCAAAACGCAGATCCTCACAACGGCCCACAATGGCCCGCCGCCATGTACCCTTCTGGAAAAAGAGACACCCAGAGGCCAATGAGGAACAGGACAGAGCGACAGGTGCGGTTTGGCTTTCTCGGCCGGAGTTCGCGTCCCCCGACACAGCCCCGGCACGGCAACTCCTCCGGGTGAGTCTCGCTGTCCTGTCCACTCAGCTTCGCCTCTCTCTCTCCTTCGGCTGCGGCAATGAACCGCATCGAGCCATCAGACTCCCAGCTTACCTGGGACGCCTTGGAGAAACTCGACATGCTCCCCAGGCCGCCCTCTCACCCGGCGCGCGGCCCGGTCGCACAGCTTTACAGACCCGGCCGGAAACGCCGGGAGCCAAGCAGGACAGTTCCGACCCGGCCCGCACACAGGCTGCTTCTTTCCTGGGCTCCCTTCCGTCTCCGCACGGAAACAGTTTCGTCTTGCAGCAGGGAAATAACGCAGTATTAAAGATGAAAACTCCAGAAAATAACCCATTCGGTTGAAAACAGCCGAAACATAATCCAGGACCCAATTTCCAGCCGGGCTGAGCGGCAAGGAACCGGAAGTACGTCACAGCGCGCGGCTTTTTGGAAATGGGAGCCGAGACCTAGAACTTGGGGTGACTCTGGACGAGATGGATCGGTACCTGCTGCTGGTGGTCTGGGGGGACGGAAAGGCTTCCGCGACCACCAGTGGGGACGCCGAGCCCGCGGTGGCGGCTGGGGAGACGGAGAAGCCGCCCGGTGAGCGCCGGGAAGGGGCGGGAGCAGCTGGCGGGAGGCGAAGTTTGGGGTTTGGATCAACTCCTGCGGGGGATGCACCTCACACATCAGGGTCCCAGGAGGCTGGCCGGATGACCGGTGAGGCGTCTCAGTGGAGAAACAGGGACACCAGATGCCAGCCCTGAGGAAAATTTGAGACAGCTTAGCTGAAAGAGCTTTCCTTTACAGTGGAATTTCCGCTCCGTGGAAACGTGTAGAGTCCCTCTGCCTCCTGAATTCCATATGCAGTTAACGAGACAAGGGTTTGTTGTCCTCCAGGTTACTTTTACTGGGAGGACGCATTTCACCAATACCCCGAGCTTTAAAAAAATGACACATTTTATTGATGATGTTTATGATTGTACCATCTCTCGGTGCACCTGCTAAGACTCTGAAATACTTTTTTTTTCTTTCGTTTTGGATCGGGAAGGCATTTTCAGGAGGCGACATGTGTGGGTGTGTATAAGGTGTCCTGTGTCGTGTCATTCGCCCTCCTCCTTGGAAATGATACTTTGGGAAGGGATTTTGAGTTTGTGTTAACGGGCTGGCATGTTCAAGGCAGGAACCGTCCCAGGCTCTTCCAAATGCTTTGTCTCTACTCTGTGGGAACTTGAATACCTTTTGGGTAAAGTGCGGTTGTTTATGGATGGGAATCTGATGGTCACACTGGGACGGACCCAGTCGGTGCACCCGGGAGCCACTGAGCTAGTCTGATTTCCCTTTCAGACTTCACAGCAACAGGTGTTTATCAGCTCCTGAAAAGAAGCATTGGTGCGTCAATTCACCCACAAGACAGCGCTTTCCCTGGTAGGTATAAAATGCCCCTCTCTGGCAGAGCAAGTGTCTGGAATGAACTTAGGACCTGTGGGAATGGCAGGTGTGCTTGTTAACTCTGCAGGGCTCCGGGTTTTGGACCGAACAGAAGATAAGAAACTGAAGAAGGTATTATTTCTCTCTTTGTGATGCTTGAGTGTCATTAAGTTGTTACGATAATTAATGTCAGTACTCAGCTTGACTTTTGCTCCTCTTATAAATGGGGATGTTGCATTCTAAGGAGGCTTAATGCCACCAGCGACTTCATTACCATTACTTACTATTCTGTTCTTATCTGCTACCAAGTCACTTCCTTGTTGAACATAGCGGTTTGTTCCCATCTGCTCTTTCTGAAGTATTTCACTTCATCTTTTATGATTTCTTAAAATTTTTATTTGAAAGATTTTCAGAGAGAGAGAGACAGAGAGGCCTTCCATCTGCTGGCTCACTCCCCAGATGGTCACAATGGCCAGAGTTGAGCCCATCTGCAGCCAGGAGCTTCTTCCAGGTCCCTTATGTGGATGCAGCCTCAGGCTGTAAACAAGGAGTTGAGTGAGAAGTGGAGCAGCCGGGACATGAACTGGCATCCATATGGGATCCTGGTGCCGCAAGTGGAGGATTAGCCGGCTACAACACCGTGTCGGCTCTGAAGCATCTCACTTTTTGGACCACGCCTCTGTTATTTTCTGTTTGCTTTATACAAATCGATCAGCCTGCTTTACTAGTTATGTTTTCTCGTTCTTGGCCTCTAATACAGACTAATCCCTAAGGACTCCAGCAGGTCTCTGGATGCCAGGGAGAATTTGATCGTTGGATAACACTGAAATTGTCATGACTCTACAATCTGGTTCTTTTTCTGTTTCTTTTTCCACTCAAAAAATTCCTCAGTGTTAGCTACCAGTGGGAAATCATTTTTAGCATGTATTTACCGCACCGGCCTGTTTCCAAGTCCCAGTAATACTTTTAATGGCTTAAGTTGACATCACGTTAGGCCATACTACTCTTACTACAGCAAAGACCTGTGTTTTTTCTAAAAAGATGTTTTGGAAATTATTGCATGATAACTTCTGTTTTCTTCAGAAAGTAAGAGATGACGTCTTCTGCTGAAATTGTTAGAAGAATGAGTTCATAGGTACTTAGCATCTTCCCTAGCTTCCAGGAGACACCTCAATAGCCATATTTCTCTTTCCTTTGGGGAATCCAATTTCTTTACTCGTGCTAAGTTCATCATGATTCCTGTGACATACACCATGGTGTTGTCTTTAACTTTATAATCCTCCTGTAATATTCCATTCTCCAAGACTGGCTTCCATGCCCTTAGGCTGTGTTGTGCTAGTATGGTTTCTGTGATTTTTGTGTCATTCAGAAAAAATCAAGTAGTTCTAATTTTAAACATCTTTGTGATAGATTTAAATCTACAGGATCATAAAAACACCTTAGATATTAAACTGTGTTGGCCTAAAGCAAATGATTCCTTCTTGGTACATGCTTTTCTTCTTGAGGCAGGTAACATTCAACTTAAACTTTTAGCAGATTTTAGAAGATCCATACTTCTGCAACTTTGGAAAGCTGTGCGATTCAAAATGACAAACTTCTCTGCACACGCATGCTGTGACGTTGTCTCGCTTGTGGTCTGATCAGTATGATTTTGTTTTCAAGCCTGTTCCATTGGCGGTGGACCCGGATCCAGGAAGTGGTTCTTTGCAGTGCAGGCAATATGTGGATTTGAGCAGGTAGTAGTTCCTAGTGAATATCTTTGCTGATACAGAGAACCCTGGGAATTCCATTACTTAGCGCACTGTGTTCCTCTGTCAGTTTTGCAGTTCTGATTGGCAAGAGGTACATTTTGATGCAGAGAAAGATGAAATTGAGGACGCCCTCCAAGCAAGCCTGGGAGAATGTCTGAGCACTGCTGAGTTTGCGGAGGAGGAAGACAGTAACAGCAGGGAGTCCCTGTCCTTGGCTGAGTATGTCCGTATGCTGCCTATTTGCTCCGTTAAATAATTCACACTTGGCAGTTGTTCAGGACCATGAGACTGAGGATTAAGATCTTTTAGCAATTATAGTAATAAAATGAATTAATTAGAGATGTTTGCTCTTCATTTTGGAAGACTGTTAGGCAATTTGGGCCTCTTATTTCAATGAAATTCTTCAAGAGCAAAAATGGATACCTGAAAATGTTTTGTTTCTTATGTGATTGCAAGAATGATACAAAGCAATTTTTTTGTTAGGATTTACTTTTATTTGAAAGGCAGAATTGTAGAGAGAGAGAGAAGAGACAGAGGACAGAGAGATCGAGGAGCCAGGAGCTTCTTCCTGGTCTCCATGCAGGTGCAGCACCCCAAGTACTTGGGCCATTCCCTGTTGCTTTCCCAGGCCATTGACATGGAGCTCCATTGGTAGGAGAGCTGGTAGGGCTTGAACTGGCACTCATATGGTAAGCTGGCACCTTAGGCAAAGGCTAAGCTTGGTATGCTACGGTGCTGGCACTAGTGAAGTAACATTTTAATTAACATGTCACTTTTAAAAAATAAATTCTATTATATATTTTATTTTAAAGCTTGAAACAAAGAAACTGTCATTTTCGCTTTACAACTTGAGGCTCAAATATATGATTTTTGTTTATCTTCTGCATTTCAAATAGCTGTTGAAATTCCTAGAAATTTTGAGAATTATTTACATGGCCACGTTCCCTGGTAGGTTTTTTGGAACTGCAGTGTGATATTTAACTTGCCTCAGATGACAGCTATGGTGCTGTTTTCTTCGTGTAGTATTTCATCTGTGACTCTGAGTAAACAACCTTTCATCTTAGCTTCAGTGTTTCATGAGAGCCAACGGCTTTCGTTACCTTATACAAATACGATGCTTGTACACCTGTAAATAACTGCAAGCTTAAGTATTTCCTTTTCTGCTGCTAAATCAGATTTGTTGGTGAATGGAGACTCTGTAGGCTGAGGGAAAGAGCCCAGTCAGGCAGCATTGGCGATGGTCCTGGCTTACGCAGCGCTGGGCCAGTTACTTAACTGCCCCCGTCCTTGGCTTTCTCATCCATAAACCTTGGGATCTTTTAGACGATATCTGAGGTGCCTTCACTCAGCCCCCAAAGCTCTGACCACTATTAAAACGACAGCTTGAAAAATGTTATTTCTGATGTGGGATCTAATAACGATTTCCACAAGAGGGGGCTAGAAAACCATAGTTTAACGTAAGATACTTTGTGATTTTTAAACAGTAGTGGATTTATAATAAAGAATCTGGGTAGTTTCATGCTGTATAATGAGCAGCTTGAGAAGAATGTCCAATAGTTCAACCTAATAGATTTTAAAGAATCAGAGGAGGGCATTAAATTATTAGGACAGTGAAGAAAAAGTAATACCCTTCTTATATACTTATTATCTTTTTAATATTAGAACAATGTTTTGTTCTCAACTATGTTTAATACACCATCTATTATTTGCGGAGTTTGTTAGTATTTTGGGTGTGGAACAGAACTTTTGCTTGGATTTCCATGCATGCTAATTATGTGGCTCTAGGCAAATTATTAAAGTAGAAATGTAACAGTAGTGTTACTTAGCATGATTGTGTTGATATCAAGATCAGATGAGATAGTACATGTCACATACTTCATGTTGATCCTTTTAGTTAACGCTTCATATTTTGGTGCATGTACTCTCTGCCTACGTGTCGCTAATTTATCCTTTCATTGTAGTCTCTATGAAGAATCTGCAGAAAATTTGCATCAGTTATCGGACAAGCTTCCTGCTCCTGGTAATATTTTATTATTACTTTTATACTGTATATCTTGCTTTATACTTATTTGTTATTTTTTAAAATTTATTCATTTGAAAGGCAGAGTTGCACAGGAAGAGAGACAGACGAAAGACTCTTCTGTTAAGGCTGAGGCTTAGTCTGTGCCACAGTGCCAACCCCATGTCACATGTTTTATAAATGAGTGATGATTCAGCATTTTTGCTAGTACTCTGAAATGAAGAACGTTTTCTTCATTCGAGTTCACATAAAATATACGCTAGCATTTTATTGAAATACATTGCTGAAACATTTAATTCTTTAGAAAATTAAGTACTCATTGTTGCTTCCCTTTTTCTTTTTAAAAGATTTATTTATTTATTTGAAAGTCAGACCTATGGAAGGAGAGATATCTTCCATTCTCTGGTTTGCTTTCCAAATGGTCACAGTAGCCGGGGCTGGGCCTGGGTGAATCCAGGATTTTATCTTGTTCTCCCACATGGGGGACGTGGGCTGCCTTCAGCTGCTTTCCCAGGCACGTTAGAAGGCCAGGTTGGAAATGGAGAAGCTGCTCTCCGGCTCTGGGGCGCCAGCATTGCAGATGCAGCTTCATCCACAAGGTCCAATTACTTATCTGTTAATTCCATTTTCCATGGACCGTTGTTGGGCACACCATGTGCTGTACAAGTTCTATGGACAGTTCCTTAAGGAAGAGGGCAATAGGGAATTTGGATAAGGTCTAGTCAGTGTAAAATCAAAATTTCTTAAAGTAAAAGAAATCCTTGAGTCAACTATTTTTTTATAAAATGCATTTTTTCCTTATATTGATAATCATATTTTATGAAATAATGTTTCATTATATTCTTAAAGCTGGTTTTTATCTTAAAGTAATATTTCTTTGTGTTATTTAAATACTTACCATGAAGAGTCTGGGACAATCTGACATTCACAAATGTTTTTGAAGAATATTCTTTTCTGAATATTTTCTATGAAGGCTGTTTATTGTACAGACATTGCAGTGACTGTAATGTGACGTTATATTAGGAGTTGAGGATGCAGTGATGAATAAAGCATGTAAGATGACCATTAAGACCTGTGGCTCACAAAAGTCTATATTTAAGACAATCATATTTCAGTGCAAAATGTCCCACATTGTAAATAACTGAATGCATTGATAAATGAACTTGCCAATTATTTTAATGTTTTATTTTCAAAATATGTATTAAAATATTGTATAGGTGGTGTTTTGCCAAATTAGAGGACTTGCATTATCATTTTTATTTGGTTTCTATTTCATTTTGTTTTTTATTCCAGTAAATTTGCAGCCTTATGAAATTTAAACTTTGTGAAGTTATTCTTTTTTTCAGGGTCAACTAATGTTATCAGTATAATTGGGTTTTCTAAGTGTTTCATTGTACTTTAAAAATGTAATTTCTTGGAGTATGTAATTTTATAATGATCCATTCCCTTTGGATAACAAAATATAGAAAAATATAATGAATTGCACAGGGTTTTTTTCCCTACTGAGTACAACAATAGCATTGATGATCTTGAAGAGTAATGTGTATCATTAACCACTACTGTAGAATTGGCAAGTAGTTATTGTACAGTTCATTGCTTTGTAGCACATGCTAACTTGCAGAAGAACATGCTTTTCATTAAATGTGGAAATTAAAAATTTTTTGAGGTCCTAAACATATGTATTCTTAGCAAGAATTTCAGAAATTCAAGTTAAAATTCCCCTTTATCTTCTAAATAAATAAAATCCAATTTTTTAGGGTACTGGAACATTGGCACAATTCAAAAATAACATCTCTTAAATGTGTATTTTTTTCTTTCCTTTCTAGGTAGAGCAATGATAGATGTAATACTGTTGCCTTCTGACAAAGATCCTCCAAAAGTGAAAGACTGCTTACCCGCCGTAGGAGCTTTGAAACATTTCAGAGAATGGCATTCTGCAAAAATTACTGTAGCCGGAAATCACTGTGAAGTGTAAGCTTCTGTGTTCATATTTGGTTATTATATGGTTTCCAACATGCTGCTCAAGATTTTGAAATTACTTTAGGGTAATACCATAGTTTTATGTCATAGTGTGATTGGAGAATTATTCTCTTGAGAGTAATTAGATTTTTCTTATATTTGTAAAGATATATTTTTAGCAAATATGTTATCAGTGCTGTCCTATATTGTTGAACATTAATTTCCTAAACTCACTATGTGCATTTAAATTGGCTTGTGTGGCCAGTGAATAGCATAGTGAATATCATGGGTACACTGTATTTGTAATGTCATTTGTTTTTGTGTCATGTGACAGTGTGCAATTATACTCTGTTGTCATTTATGACAGGTTTTTTGTTTTGTTTTTTACAGTTTTGATTCTTAAATAAGCATTTAAATCGGATTTATTCATGACATTTTTCATTCTACCATATTGTTGAACACTTGCCAAACACAGCTGTAAGTGCTGTTGAGTTAAAAAAGTAAAAAGACATGATCTTTTTCATCAAAATGCAGATGTAATAAGAGAGACAATGGTTAAGATAGTCTGTAATCAATGTTTTTAGCAATTCCATACAAAGCTATTTGGAAACAGTTTAGTTGAACAATTCTGTCTTTGAATACGAAGAACCAATGTTGTGTGTGTGTGTGTGTGTGTGTGTGTGTGTGTGTGTGTGTGTGTGTGTGTGTGTCTGTCTTACATAGTTAAGCCAACACTAAAAAGAAACCATTTCTTCATTGTTGGTTATGAGGGTAATTACTCTTAATTTGTAGATATGAAGGATTAAATCAGCACTTCATTCAGAGACTGAATTAATGGTTGTTCTGTAACATGTAGAAACATTGCAAAACTTTCAGCTTCTTATATAAAAATATAAAACCCTACAGTTAATTATAATCGTTTTTTTTTTTTTTAATAGAAACTGTCAGAAAATTGCAGAATACCTTTCCGCTAATATTGTACCTTTAGAAGATCTCAGAAATGCTATTGACTCAAAGGAATTGTGGAGGGGAAGGATTCAGATATGGGAAAGAAAGGTAAATGAATTTCTCTTTTATCACAGTGTGCAAAGCAGGTCTTTCAAGTCTTGACTATGCAGATACTGTAAGTACATCTTAATGGAAATGTAGCCTTTAAAGATGTTCCAGATCAGCACTGTTAGGATTTTCTACGTTAATGGAGATGTTCTCTGTGCCAATGCAATAACCAACTAGCCATGTATTGCTACTCAGTGCTTTACCTAGGACTAGCGTGATGGCTGAACTACATTTTAATTTTGATTTTAATTAAAATATTCACTCCTGTTTTGATCATTGCTATTCTGTAATGTAGCACTTGTAAACCAGAATTTGACCTTAACCAAGTTCATATTTATCTGAATCTCCTTTTTTATTGCTCGTGTGAAGTATCTGGAAAAACTGCTCGGACTGTGTTAGGTTACTTATAATCCTACCTTTGGTGATCTCCAATTTCTACTAACCAGTTTTCTAATTTTGAATGAATCTTTTTGTTGTTGTTAGATCCTAGTTTTCTAAACAACAAGATGATTGTGTTAGGTTATTCTGACCCTGAACTTCTGTGAGACTTGATTCTCTTTTGGCATTTCTTACTGAGAACAAACATTTTGCAAAGCTTTGCTCGGTTGTGCCCTTGTGGCTGCCTTTGTGGTAAGTGGGTTGAACCACCACAGCTTAATGCAGGTTGCCATATGGGTGCCAATTCAAGTCCTATCTGCTTCTCTTACAATCCAGCTTACTGCTGGTGGCCTGGGAAAAGCAGTGGGAGATTGCTCAAGTGTTTCGGTCCCTGTACCTTTATGGAAGACCCAGATGAAGCTCCTGGCTCTTGGCTTCCATCTGTCCCAGTGCTGACTACTACAACCATTTATCGGGAACCAGAGGGTCAGTGGCCTCTGTTTCTAACTACGTCTTTGAAAAAAAAAGTCTTTTAAACTGTTTTTTGCTAAAATATTCTTAGTAATTTATGTCTTTCGTAGAGAAGCAAAACAAAACCACAGGTTTTTTTTTTCTTTTTTAGATGTATAGACCATTTGTGCAGTTAGCATTGGAATATGAGTCAGACCTTGCATTTTTATAAAGTCTGCGGTTTTTTTTTTTTGCATTTATAGGTAGACTTTTTAAAAGATTTATGTGTTTATTTGAAAAGCATATAGCTAGGGAGAGATGGAGATGGAGATATAGGCTTTACCTACAGAAAGAGGAAGACAAATAGTCCATCCTCTGCTTTACTCCCCAAAGGATGACAACACCACGACCCAGAAGATTCTTCTGGTTCTTCCGTGTGAGTGGCTGTAACTCAACAAGTTGGGCCATCTTTTGCAGCTTTTCCAGTCCGTTAGCAAGAAGCTGAATAGGAAGTGGAAGAGCCAGGGCTGGATTGGCACCCAGGGGATGCCAGTGGCACAGGTAGTGGATTAAACTGCTAGGCTGTAGTCCCTGTCCCTAGACTTTTCAATTCATCCTTTAAAATTGCTTATTAAAATCTAAAGAAAGGTGATGAGAATTGATTTGATGGGCTTATTTGTTGATTGCCAAGTTGACCCATCCTAATCTCATGGAAGGGTATATCAGCAGGTGAACCTTTTATGCAAATGACTTTAATATAAAAGAAATATAGTCAAGTAGAAGAGAAGAAATTATGAAGAGCTAAGATTGCTTTCATATATATATATATTTAATCTGTATGTTTGAACATGACTTATTTGGAACCAAAAATTAACCTAAAGTCACATTTCACTGCAGAAAACCTTTCAGCCAAAAATCGTTTAGTATATCTAGTTGTTCAGTACGTGGGACCTGACATTACAATGGGTTTATTCCAGTCTCTCCTCTGCTTCATTGTGACATATTGGAGGATACTTTGCCTCTTGATAACCCGCTTGTATACATTTATAAAAGAGTTAATAATAGTTCGTATTTCATGGGTTTTTATGAATATTAAATTGTTTCAAAGTAACCATCCTGTATTACCTATTGTTGTGGTTGTTACCATTAATATTGTTAACACTGCTGCTATTATTACTTGCAAAGTAATTCATCTCATAAACACCATATATTGGAAGCCTTGTACTTAGGTTCTAGTGGTGAGGAGAACTGACATTTTCTATCTATGCATTATAGACTAGTACCAGAATTCTGACTAAGCACATGCAGAAGAGGTTATTTGGCCTTGTTACAGCGTAGAAGGGGCTGCTCTTGCTGGCTGAGGAAGGGCCAATGAGAGCTCTTCATGAAAACCTGGTGTGTTAGTTAGGATGGAACGATATGTACCTAGATAGAAGAGCCAATTGTTAAACTGGGATTCAGGAATTTACACTGGGAATTCATGAATTTTTTCAGGAATTAATCTTTCTCTGTCTGTTCATGAGACTGCTAAATGTGTTTTCTTGTTTGCTTTTCAGTTTGGATGTGCAGTTAGTTTTCCTGAATTTTGTTTAACTGGAGTCACACCTAAGAACTTTAGTATACATAATTTAGATACTTGCTTATTTGCCCCAAAAAGAGTGACATCAAAGGATAAGGATCTTTTGCCAAAGGTAATTATGTTTATATGTTTGTTTGCACTCATCTATTTGTGCGTTTTTATTCCTGTAAAATGTATTTGAATCTTGAGTTATTATCACTAATATGTGTGCTAAAGTGTGCTTGCTAGCGTAAATTTTACTAAAAGTAAGTATAAGCTTTGGTGAGACTATTAATATTTTAGAAATTTAAAAAATTTGTTAACAGTGCTAATTTTCCGGCAGCACACACCTGAAACTACCTTTGGTTTGGACTTTACACTGTGACCTTTCTAAGACTCAATTTGGGGAGACTGTGAAGGAATGGGGAAAGGATGAATTTGAGTTAAGCTAGACCTGGATTTCAAACCTGACTCACAAACCAGGTGTTGGGTACACTGTGCCTTGCATTTGTGGATAATAATGATACATTTATCTTCTCAAAGTTATCCAGTTTAGATGAGGTAAAGAGATTAGCATTTGGCATACACTTCAGAAGTATGCGTTTTTATCCTGTGTCATGTCTAAACTTATTATTAAAATACATGTAATCATTAAATGTAAAAATTAGAAAAAGGATGAGTTGGATTTAAAAAAAATTTTGAATGCAACAGGAGAAGAGATATCTCTGCGAAAGCACTTTGGAACATCCTTTACTTAAAAATATTTGTTTAATATTAAAAGTGAACAAATTTCATGTATTTCATATAGACAATTTTAAGAACATGTGGATACGATACTTCCCATCCTGCCCTTCCAATATACTAGTCAGGAAGTTACAAGGAAGGCCAATTGATGGCTAATGTTTTCTGATCAAAGAATGGTATGAAAAAGAGTGTAATTCCTGATGTGAGCTCATTTCCCATATTTATTAAGAATTGTTTATGTAACATACTGTGTCCATCTTTCATAATAACATTATTTCCCAATGACTAGCATCATGGGATGGATGCCATTACTCTCTCTTGGTAATGTTACCACACTAGTATGATTTTTTTTGTTAATATTGAATAGAATGTTAGGGTTCATCTTTTTCATTAAATATAAGGTTTCCTCTCCCTGTGTGTGCCATACACAGGTACATATATGCAAATTATAATATATGTGTGTATACACATTCAGGCCAAAAATTTTGTGGAAAATGGAGTCGAAAGATAACTATTTTGGTTCAAAAATTGTTAAAATCTTTGGATAGGACTTTTTTACTAGGCATTTTTCTGGGGCCGGGGATGGGGCTCTGATGGGTTCAGCTGCTGCCTGCCATGCTGGCATCCTGTAGGGTTCCTGCTTGATTCCAGGTTGCTCCACATCCCATCCAGCTCCCTGCCAAGGGGTCTGGGAAAGCAGCACATGACACATAACCCCAGTGCTTGGTCTCCTGCCACCACTGTTGGAGACCAGAACTATGCCCTGATTCCTGGGTTCAGCCTGGGCTGGTCCTGGTCATTGTGACCCCTTGGGGAATGAACCTCCCTCCTTCTGGCTCTCCCTCTCCCTCTGTAATTTTACCTTCCAAACCAATGAACTAACCTTAAAAGGAAAAATTAATTTCCATGAACTTTTCTAGGACTCCTTATATATACTATGTGTATGGTAGAATTATGGAGCTTTCTTCTGCACATTACACAAGTTTCATCAAGATGTAGTCCTTTGGTTTTGTTTGTTTCTTTGTTTTGTTTTTGCCTCATTTGTGACGTGCTATGGTACCAACTGTTGAAATGTTAATCCTTTTTCTAGCTCACTCCAATTTCGTTTCAGACTCAACACTAAGAAATGCTGAAATTGTATTTCTGAGTGGAACTTTCTGTCTTAATTGGCAGCTGTTGTCTTCACCAGATTGTTGTTTGTTTCTTTCCTCCATCGTGGGGTGTCTTTTCTTTGTTTCAGGATTCCACCTGCAGAGGTAGCTTACTCGTTTGCTTGTTCAGCACTCTCAGCCCTTGCATCGCTTAGGCTGCTGAATATAAACAACACAAGTGGAGAACTCTTCTGTTCCTTGCCTCTCTATAAGCGTTTTCTTCTCTAAAGTTCTTTTTAGAGAAGGAAACCTCCATGTCTCTACTCTTGAGGTGGAATTTGATTTGAAGAATTGTTTTCTCTGCGATAGATTAAATGTTTGGCTTGCGTAATGTATACAATATTAGATTGAAAGTTTTGAGCCCTTTATAACTAACTTTGTAATTTTTGTTTTGTCCAGAGTATTCAAAATACTATGTAATTCTAATATGTTTTTCAGGTTTTTCATTATTATGGCCCTGCTTTAGAATTTGTGCAGATGATAAAATTATCAGATCTACCTTCCTGCTACTTATCGGACATTGAATTTGAGCTGTATCCTTAATGTGCATATTCATTTAGGTCTTGTTTTCTATATCGAGTATAATGGGCTTGTATTGTCAGCTAACTGTATTGTAAGTATATATTCATTGTTATTTTACTATATGCATTGTTTTTATGTGGCTGTGTAGGTATGCTGCCAAATTCCTTAATTTTTAAGCTGCCGAAGAAAAAACTTCTTGGTCTTTCCATATTCTGGATCAAGTACTTTTCCTATCGGAAATCTGTCTCGCTGTGCAAGTGTTTTCTGGCAGTATCTGCTGAACGTTTTCTGTGTGCAGAGCTCTAGAAGGAAGCCAAAAGTGACAGTCTTGGTTTCTAATTATAACGCTGTCCGCCTGAGCAAAGGCCAGATCTCTGTCTCACTTGGTCCGTCAGTAACTAAAGCTCTTACTCCTCCTATCTCCAATCAGACAGCCCCACATTCCTACTGTATGTGTTCTTATTGCCTCTGCTGTCCCTCCTGTTACTACTTAATGCTTTTTAAAAATAATTTTCCTTTGTCTGAAACCCAGGAAACCATCTTCATGACTTTGATGTTTTTCTCCATAAATATTTCTGTTGAAAAAGTCTATCACTGCAGTATGTCATCGTATATTGCAGATATACTCTCTGTATTATACAGATATATACATCAGCTCAAACCAAAATGTTGATTTGTTTTCTTATTGCAAATTCCTTTCTACAGAAGATATAATATTTATGAAAGAATAAGAGAACCTTACTCAGACGAGAACTGTTTTCTGGGATCACAAAGAGTGGTATCTTAGTTTGTTTCGGGAAGTTTTTGGTTTATTGGTTCTGGTGGTAAGGGAATTTGCAATGAGATCAGTCTGCAGTACCTTTTCAAATGGACCACATGCTGTCAGTTGGATTAAACTGTCCTGGAGAAGGAAAAAAAACTGTTGAAGAATTGCAAGCCAGGAAGTAGCTTAATCGGGAATAAATTTTCCCATAGGAAAAAAAATCTATCTGAATTTTGATGAAAATTCAATTGCATGCATAGGTCAGTTTGGAAAACCGAAAATACTGAATGTTTGAACTTATAACTATGGCTATTTATTTACATGCTTAGCTTTTGTTTCATCTCAAAAATGATATGTAGTTTAGAATATAAAATCTTGCTTATTGTGAGTATGTATATGTGACTTTAGGTGGCTTTCATATGAAGTGTGTTAAGCATTAGATTTCAAGTTCTATTCATTTGTTCTGTATGCAAATAAAATTGAACATTAGTTCTTAAACAATACAAGTAAATTGTAGTGGCTGGTAAAACTCCCACCGATGACACTGGCATTCTCTGTGGGCCCTAGTTTGTGTCTCTGCTGCTCTGCTTCTAATCCAGCTTCCTGCCTAGTGGCCTGGGAAAAGCAGCAGAAGATGGCCCAAGTGCTTCGGCCATGCCATCCATGTGGGAAACCCAGCTGAAGCTCCTGGCTGCTGCTCGGGTCTGGTCCAGCTCTGGCTGTTGCGACCATCTGAGGAGTGAACCAGTGGAAGAAAGATCTCTGGTTCTCTCTGTCTGCAATTCGTTCAAAATAAATCAATTTTAAGTACATCTTAGAGTATACTGGTAGGATATTGGAACTTAGAGTTTGAACAAAAGAAGTGTCCCTTGGAATGGAGAGCCTGGGCAAAACACAGGATGAGTTCAAGACTTAACCGGAACCATGACCTGAGCCAGTCAGGGAGAGCAAGGAGGCTGTGTGGGGAGTAGCATGGTTGCCTGTGTTGATGCTCAGACACGAAGAGGCCCTGGGAAGAGCAGTTTCACAAAGGAAGAGTTCAGGTTTGGGTAATTGGAGTATCCGTATACATTGAGTGATTCTGAAATTTTTTTTCCAGTGTACATTGTGTTGAAAAATGTATGACTGTTTCTTACCAATAGTTTATATTAATTCTTATAGTTAAACTTTTTAATAAGTGAATTTAAGCAACATGTGGAAGAATTGATTAAAATTAATTTTCTGGAGTACAAGTGTTTTTCAAGTTCGTATGCCCTTACTTCCTTAACTCCCTAGTTTAGAGGGTTGACAAAGAATAGTACCAGGCAGAATTCCATGTTGCTGTTGCAGCAGCTCTCCTCCCTGCGTGGCAAGGTATACTTGTGCTTGGGTTACATATTTTGTTTTTATACTTAGCATTTGTACATGTGTAAGAAAAAGGATGTAATTTGTTTGCATAATGACTTGGTTTCTTTGATGTACTATATCATGATGCTATTCCTGATTTGGACATTTTGGATTTTAATATGCAAAATATTTACTGACAGTATTTATGTCACATTTGCTTATTATTTCTACAACATATAGACTATTATCAAAACTGCAAAGAGTAAATGAATATTACAATGAATGGCACTGCACCATGGTGCTTTAACAAAATCTTATTTATAATTTTTTCAGAAAATTGAAGTTGAAAATGAAACATGATTTAACCTTAAGATATTCAACTAGTGATAACTCAGACTTTTGGCTTTCAGACTTAGTTTTCCATATATTAGATAGTCTTTTGAGTTACTGTGCTGAAATAGTTAGTAATGACATACCCTTTGGGTAGCCCAAGTTATAGTGCTTTGTTAACTAAGTTTTCATTTTGTGAAGAAAAACCCACATGCTAAATTTCAAAATTGCTAAATTGTAAAATTTATTATCCAACATATATTCTGCTGTGTTTCAGCACTGTGCCAGTGTTGGGGACCATGGGACAAATTTTACAGATTTAGCTTCTATCCTCATAAAACTCAATATATTTGGCCCGGTGCAATAGTGGCTAACTCATTAGCTTGCATCAGCTAGGATTCCACATAGACGCTGGTTCCTGTGCCAGCTGCTCCACTTCCCAGCCAGCTCCCTGTTTGTGGCCTGGGAAAGCAGTAGAGGATGGCCTAATGCCTGGGGAACCTGCAACCTTATAGGAGACCTAGAAGAAGCTCCTGACTCCTGGCTTTGCATTGGCTCAGCTCTGGCCATTGTGGCCATCTGGGGAGTGAACCAGCAGATGGAAGATCTTTTTTTCTGTATCTCCTTCTCTCTATGTATCTGCCTTTCCAAAAGCAAAAAAAAAAAGCTTAACATTGGTGGCAAAAGCATAACTAAATCTCTACAGGTATGAAACAACAGAAGAAATGAACACTCTAAGAATGTATTTTAAATACAGATGAGCAAGATTAAACTTGTTGGGGCCCAGCGCAATAGCCTAATGGCTAAAGTCCTCACCTTGCACACACCAGGATACTATATGGGCACCAGTTCTGGTCCCAGCAGCTTCACTTCCCATCCATCTCCTTGATTGTGGCCTGGGAAAACAGTCAAGAGCAGCCCAAATCTTTGGGACCCTGCACTCATGTGGGGGACCCAAAAGAGGCTCCTGACTCCTTGCTTCGGATTGGCCCAGCTCTGGATGTTGCAGCTGCTTGGAGAGTGAATCATGGGATAGAGGACCTTCCTCCCTGTCTCTCCTCTCTGTATACTGACTTTCCAATAAAAATAAAATAAGTATTTTTAAGAAAGATTTAATTTGTGCCTTTCTATACAATTGTGCACATAGAAGTCGTGTGATGCAATTTAAAAATATGTACTATGAATTAAAAAAAAAACACTTTCTATTTTCACTCAAATAGCTAAGTTGTTCTCTGTGTAGCCCTGTCTGGTTACCTTTTTTTTTTTTCTTTGAGTCCTTCATTCTAAGAAAATTAAGAACTTATCCAGCATGATTATTTTGTAGTGTTTGAGAGACAGAGGTTCCACCTCCTTGTTCACTCCCCAGACACTGAGCACTGAGGGGTGGAGCAGGCTGAAGCTAGGAACTGGACACTTAGGACAAGTTTCGCATGTGGATTACAGGGACTACATCTGCAGCCATCACCTGCTGCCGCTTGGGCTGCACGTTACAAGGAAGCCGGAGTGGGAGTAGGGTTGGAACTTGAGTCAGGTGCTGCGTTATAGATTGTGAGGATTCCAAGCGACACGTCAACCACTAGATCAGCCTTGGCCGTGCTGTTATTATTTCACCAGTATTGTCACATAAGCTAGAGAAAGAAATATGTTGTAGAGATTCCGAAACAGAAGGGTGTATATCTTAGAAAACTTATAATTAAGGCCTTGGCTTTGCACTCACAGACTTAGACCTTTATAAATTATCAACTGGAAATAATATATCTTGTGTTACCTGTCTCAGATTTGTAATGAAAACCAAATTAGAATATGAGGAATGCTGAAATTTTCTTGCACCAAAGTAAACTTTTACTTAGTGGAAGTGCCATTGATAAGTGATAGCTGTTATTCTTCATTATCTTTGAAGCTTATGTGTATCAGATGATTACACTTTCATTTCCTGAAATGTGTGGAATAATAGATACTCTCCAGGTAATTTGAAGATGTGATAAGATTTGTGAACATTATGTGGAGAAATTCATGGAAAATATACTGTATGGAGAATGTTACAGAGTATAGTCAGATTTGCAGAATGTTCATTGGGTGTGAGGTTAGGATGCTGCCTGGAGAGTCTTCATTTCGTAGTGTTTGGGTTCACGTCCTTACTCCACTGTCCGTTCTGGCTAATGCGCACTCGGGGAGTCAGCAGAAGGAAGGGCAGGGAGTTAGAACCACACTTCCCCAGTGCGAGCCCCAGGTTAGTCCCGGATCCTACTGGCCCGGCCCACTCCTGCCCACTGTGGGCCTGTGGAGTATGAACCAGTGGATGGGATGTATCTGTGTGTATCACTCTGCCTTTCAAAAAAATTTCTCAAAACAAATTTATGCACTGGAATAGCAAAAGTTTAAAGGAATCTTTACTCCTTATAGTTATTTAAAATTGGCAACAGCAACTCTAAAAGCAAGGTAAAAAAAGACCTTAATATTTGTTATGATCATAATTTCAATCATTTTGTTTTAAAATTGCTATGTTAGATTGTCAGCGTATTGCTTCTTGGACCAGGAGGTTTGAAACTCAGGTTTGAGTTCCTAGATTTGGCCTTTAAAGAGAATAATAGCCTCAACAAATTGTCGTCAGGCTCCGTAGAGGTTATCTAATGGTTAATGGAATGGTGGGACCGAGGTAAGAAACTAAGTGAACTATGAGTGCAGTGGAAGCAGGTGAGAAATTTATGTTGTGGAGAATTACTGTTTGAGATTTGAAAATGTTTATTTGCATATCTGTAACAGATGTTTAATCAAAATTACGCTATCAAAAATGTGGCCACTTCGTCAGCTGCTGGGTCCTGAGCTTTTCTGTCAGGCTGTCAGTCATGCATGTCGCTGGCATGTTGAGGAAGCTCTGCTGGGACCCGACAGGGCATGCGCACCTTAGAACTGTGTCCAACTTCTAGACATGCAGTCTTGTCATGCATTTGGGGATTTGATATCTTATTAATGCAAGAACTGGGATATAATATCTTAAAAAATTAGATGTAGTTTTTGTGTTAAATGATATTTTGATTTCTAAGTATTTTTATTTTTAATGCCTAATGCTTAACTGTGTAAATTTTGGCAGACTTAAAGTTATATCTGTTATAAGAGAGACTAATATATCTATTGTGCCATTTATTTTCACCTAAAATATTATTTTTTGTATCTATCATGAATGGATAGTGAAAATGAATAAAAACAAAACTAGTGGTTAAAGTACTAATTATATGAGTGTCACAAAGCTCATGTAACCAGTCCATCTCCGCTGGGAGATGAAGTGATCTGTGCTAGGTTTGAGTTGTTTGACAAGCACCTTGCTTCCTTCATTTCTTCAAGAACTTTTGAAGAAAGTTTGCCCTTTGCTAGGGTATGCTCACTGATGCAGCCCACTGCTAAAAACTGACAAATAAATTTTCAGAGCTTCCCTTTGTTCATTTTTAGCATTTAATCAAATTGAAAACTTTGCAAATTGCTGGATTTTTGAACAAATATGTAAGAACCACTTGTATGCCCAGCCCTGGGTGAACAGAATGGATGTGTTGAATTTGCATCCAGGTCAGCCCGAAGCTGCTGTTGTCCATTATGTAGATCTTTGTCTTTTTCACACCATCCCAAGTCCTTACTTGTCAGAATTAAATCTGATTTCTAGGAATGACTGTTTCTAAGCTATAGATATTCCAGTTCTGAAGCCAGGACAGTAATCCTGTGCAGTGACTCAAAATTATGACTGAATGTGACAAAATCTTTTGGTGCTAGAATCCCAGCCTTTCTTACTGCTTTTCATATATGCGAAGAAATTACCCCCACAACCTGAGTTTCAGGCTGATTCTGAATAGTAAGGTTTTCAGAGATGTACACCTTAGTGGCTGGATGTTCTGTCTGCTTTTCTTTGTTGCTTGCCTTTTTTTTTTTTTTTTTGGTGGAAAGTAATACTGTTATGCTTTTCTTTGGTTGGTATGGTAGAGTTGTTTGGCAAGATTGCTACTAAACATTTGTTACCTAGGTAAAATGTGAGTGAAAACTTCTGTCATAATGATGACTTTGAGTATGCAGTCAGTAAACACATGTTCTGTTTCATCCAGGTGGGTGCTCTGTTTGTGTTGCCATGTACTGTGAGTAACGTATTTATCCCACCTCCCAACCAACTCAGTTCAAGAAAATGGAAAGAATACATAGCTAAAAAACCTAAGACCATCAGTGGTAAGTAGTTAACCTTTAAATTGTTTTAATGATGATGCATAGATAAAGCATCAGATTTGAAATGGAGATGATGTTTCTTTTTAGAAAATAGTGTTTGTTATTTAATGTCTCTGACAACCTTATTTAAAAAAAAATAGTTACCAAAAGGCAGAACTCTTTTTTTTTGGATTTATTTATTTATTTGGAAGTCAGAATTATGGAGAGAGGTGGAGAGAGACAGACAAAAGAGAAAAAGACACATTTTTCATCTGTTGAGCCAGGCCTAAGCTAGAAGCCAGAGGCGTCCTCTGGGTTTCCTGTGATGATGATGGGGGCCCAAACACTTGGACAGTCTGCTGCTTGTAGGAGATTAGCAGGGAGCTGACTTGGAGGTGGAGCAGCCAGGATATGAAGTGGTACCCATGTGGGATGCCAGTGTTGCAGGCGGCAGCTTTACTTGCTGTGCTACTGTAGCAGCGCAGTGTCAGCGCTTGTTGTTATAGAGATGATTGCTTCCAACATGGATTTCTTCAAGATTTCATGAATCAATTTGCTGAATATTAAAAGAGCTCATTAATGTGTTACATGGTGATTACAACTTTTGTTTACTAATTCTGAAATTAGTGAAATCCATTATTTAGCAGTTTAATTATTTTATGAAGTTTTCTGAGTACTGTAAAAATAACAATTAGTTTGTATTTTTACAATAACTCAGAGGCTGTATTTTATTCCCATTTTATAGATGGGGAAATTGGTGCTTGGAGATGTAAGAGAGCTGTTAAGTGACAGAATGTTGGCACCAGTCCTGGCTCTGTCAGCTAATGAGATTAACTTCTCCAAGGATTTGAACCTAGACCCTTTGTTCTTCACTTCTGTTTGATGCTAACAGTCTGGGGTATTCAGGGTGCCGCCACAAAAATCAAGTCTTAATTTCTATTATAAAACCAGAGATTTGTGTGAGGACAAGCACTACTATTTATAAAGTAATCATGGCTCAGGCTGTTCAGATTACTTTTTCATAGTTCCATAGCCAGTTAAGCTATTCCCTCACACTTTTGCTTTAGTTTCAGCATTTTTTTTCCAAATATTGAGCAAAAATTTGCTTGAAATGTGAGCTTACAATTTTTGTGACCCACAATATAAAGAACATTGAGGATATACATTATAAGTGTCCCCCTGGGACTATTGTAGACAAAGCCTATAGAAATATCTCAGAAAGCTCTAAAATTTGAGGAGTAACATACTTAAATTAGTGATTGACACTGTATTTTATAGGAAATAAGGGGACATACTGAAACCCATTAGCAAATATTGAATTTGAGATTCAGGCAATCTAAGCTACTTGGAATTTGACTAGTTTTAAGCTATAGTTTGGAATTCAGATCTGGATCTGTGGGGAAGAGTCAGGGTAGAGAGCTGAATCCTGAGTTTACCAGAGGTTCTGTCTGTTGAAACTCGATGGTTTGGAAGGGCTAACATGACCTCAGCCTGGCGGTTCTCTTGTGTTTCCCAAATGGTCACTCTTAGATGGACTGCTCTGAACTCTGTGGAGTCTTGGGAAACTGGGTTCAGCTGGGATACAGGCACAACTGGCAGCATCTCTGCCTGGGCTCTGTCCAAGCCTTTGCCTTGACTCGTGGTCTCTTCACATGATCTTGCTAGCAGTTGATCTAGAATTTTTGCAAAACAGAAAAGTTGAAGCTACTGAGAGTTTTAAATATCAAGTCCCAGAACCGGCCCGGTCTTACTTCTGTCTCAACATTTAAGATTGTCACAAAAATGGTCCAGATTGAAGGAGAAGATATCCCTGTACAAGGCGTGAATCACTGAGAAGGCACCACTGGGAAAGCCTACCATAGATGCACAGCACATAGAAATCATGGCTGGAGAAGACAGCCAAAGCTGTGGTCTTAGAATTTATGGTAAAAGTGGAAGAAAAGCTAGAAAATAATTTAATAAATTATTTGGTTGTTGGAAGACATTAATTACATAATCGAAAAGCAAATATTGCACTATATGGAGTATATTAGATCAGGTGGGTACATGGCATGAGTAATACACGAGAAGCAGAAGTGTCGGTTAATCCAATTGGGGAGGTAGGTTTGTGGGCCTTCATGAGATACATAGTGGAGAGAGGAGTGTAGATAAGAAAATAAAAGCCTATTTTGCTGCAATTGTGAAGGTGAAGTGAAGGGCAGTTCTGGCGCTTTGACCCAGCCAGCACCACGAGCTCCAGCTCTGGGAGGAAGACACATTAATTTAGCTCATTGCACTGTACTGATATGTGAACAACCATGGCATTAACTCTTTTCCTTCTTACAAGGAATACATGGGTACCTGGTGATCTCAGCAGTTTGCAAAACAAAAGCAAAAGTTGACTTGCTGAGTGGTTACTGTACAATAATACTGCATAAAATCATAGATAATACTTACCCAGTCCTGATAATATAGTTCTAAAACTGATTAATAATATTATTAATAATATTCTCAATAGGCTGTCATTTTTCCTTTTTTTGACTTTCTGGAGGTTCTAATTTCAAGGCAATTTTTTTAATTTAAAATTTACTCTTGTGTTTTTGTGTTTTTGATTTTCATTACAACTTTAAGAAAATAATTTACCATGTATATTTCAATTTCAATTTCATGATCTCTTGGATTTGGGGGTTAATATTGGTAACTTCAGACTAATGATAAGACTTAGATCACATGATAATGTTTGAAGCCAGGTTGTTGATTACTGATTAGGCCAGGTCATTAAGGGCTGATTAAACTGACACTTCACGGTATTTTTTTTTTTTAATCTTAGAAGTAAAAGCAGAATCAAATTGTACAGTTGATTATTAAGTTCTGTTCTACCCGTAACCCTGTCTGAAGGGGAAATTCGTTACTAGTCCCATTTAACAGAGCTCCTTTGGTAAAAATAGAGAAGCCAAGTTTTTCTTAAACATGAAAATGTCCATTACTCTTGCATTTAGATAGCCTCCCATCCCTGTCCTGGAACCACTGACAGTTGCCTGTTGTTGTTCTAAGCCATTTATCAGCTCAAAGCATCCCAAACTGTCACTGTTTCTGACATACCCACTGAATCACGTTCTGTGAATTAGGTTCTGTGTTACTGCCCTGCATATTCCAGTCTCCAAGCCACACCTTAAATCGTTTCCTAAGACCATTTCCTGATTTTATTTTGTGATCTTGTTCACTGAGTTCGTCATGCCTTTCGTTCCTTTCCCTTTGGTTGGGAAGCAGATCCTGCACTTCAGGCTTGGTAGTATAACTTGTGGATTAGGAATCCAGTAAATAGACCTGGATCTTCCTCTCAGGGATTTATGTTACAACATAGAAAATAGATATTAAACAGTAACTATACCTGACATGGTAACCTAGCAGCTAAAGTCCTCACTTTGCATGCGCCAGGATCCCATATGGGCGCTGGTTGATGTCCCTGCAGCTCAGGTTTTCATCCAGCTCATTGCTTGTGGCCTCGGAAAGCAGTCAAAGACAGCTCAAAACCTTGGGATACTGCACCCATGTGGGAGACCCAGAAGAGACTCCTGCTCCTGGCTCCAAATCAGCTTAGCTCTGGCCATTGTGGCCACTTGGGGAGTGAATCAATGGACAGAGGATATTCCTCTCTGTTTCTCCTTCTCTTGTATATCTAGCTTTCCAATAAAAATAAATAAATCTTTTTTTTTAAAAAAAGTAACTATAAATCTTAATGTTGTATTTAGTAGCAACTGACTCGAAATAAAGTTTACACTATGTTATGTGAGAAAAGGATGCTATACAATGGGTAGGCTACCATTTGTGGGAAAAAAATTACATTTGTTGAGCATGAAATATTCCTTTTTTAAGTAGATGCCTTTGTTGAAAACCTACAGTATACTAAGCACCGATACACGTGCTGGACTAGTGGGTGTAGAGCAGAATGGCCCTCATAGAGTTTACGTTTATGATGATGTAACAGGTGCAGTTCCTGTTGCAGAAAGCTGTGTTTGTTAGGTCTCTCAGTGTTTTCAGGCCTTTGCTCCAGAGAGATGTTCTCATTCAGTATCTGCTGTCCTCCTCCACTGCCTTCTCCTGACTTTATATCTATCTTCCCAGCTTTATATTTTATACTTAGGACACACTACTGTATAATCTACTAAATATGTGTCTACCTGACAGTAATTCTTTGACTGTAGTGATACTCTACAATATCTCTTAAAAATTAAGGTGGAATTGAAGTTGTGGCAGAGAAAGGCTGAGCCTCCACCTGCAATGCCAGCATCCCGTACAAGTGGTGGTTTGTGTCCTGGCTGCTCCATTTCTGACCCAGCTCCTTGCTAACACACCTGAGAAGGCAGAGGAGAATGGCCCAAGTACTTGAAACCCTGAACCCATGTGGATGACTCAGAGGAGGTACCAGGCTCCGGGCTTCAGCCTAGAGCAGCCCTAACCATTGCAACCATTTGTGGAATGAACCAGTGAGTGGAAGATTCTCTTTCTCGGTGTCTCCTCCTCTCTCTTTAACTGCCTTCCAAGTAAATAAAAGCAAATCTTTAAAAAAAAAAAAAGGCATACATTTCCAGATAGTAGTAATTGCTATCCCGGAAAAAAAAGGAGAAACAGAAAGGCATTGAATGGAATCTACTGAGGCAACGTGAACCAAAGAATGTGTTCCAGTTTCCTATCAGTTCTGTAGGTTTTATTTGTTGATGAAATAATATGCATGCACATCAGTTTGAGTGACAGGATGTAGATTTTATACATCTCTGCTTTTACATATGCTTTGAACTAAGCTGGCAAATCATGCTCAATTTCAGGTATGAATATGGTTAAATTACCTTAGCAAAAAAATTCAGTTTTTTAAAAAGTGATGTTCAGGGGAATACCCAGAAGTTACACAAGAAAAATATAGAACTATGAACAAATAAAATTAACACCCTACTTGATTTCTAAAAAATAACTTTTTTACGTAAAAGCCGCATTTGTAAGGAAGAGTCACTACCTGCTAATGCATTCAGAGTCATTTTATGAAATTG